AATTATGTTTTAGCACTCTGAACCCTTAGTATATTGCTGCTGTTTTTCTAAAATATATTTTCTCCATTTCAAATACGAGCTTCATATTACTTGGTCCCAAATCACAGTACACAGAAGCCAACCATGCACAATTTCTAAAAAAAGAATACAAATATGAACCCTTTCATAACCCTTGAAAGAGGACAATGTGTTCCAAAACATAGATAAAATAATACAAAACATTAATATATATATATATAAAAATAATCCACATTCAGCTACAAGTCCACAGAGAGAGCTTGTGAACTTTGATCATACTATTCCATCATCTTTCATATCATCATATCTTCTCTACACATAGCTGAATAAATACCTCAGCTCTAGTAATCCCTTCCTTCGTGCTTTTCAGTAGCTAGGATCTTCCTTCTGTTTCTTGTAAAGTTTATAAAATCCGACATGCTGTAGGGAATCATTCTTCATTGGATTGACTTTGAATATACCTGAAAGCATTTTGTTGCTCCTTCATTTTATCTGCTATGGTCCAATGAACTCCAGAGAGCTTGAACCCGACCTTGACATGTTCCTCTCTACCTTAAGGTGATAATCCCGGAAGTAACTGCTCCCAGTCTAGTTTTAAGTCATTCTTTTCTGACGGTTTTGAGGACAAGGGAAAGATAAAAAACATTTCTTGACCTTCAACATTCCCTGACCTAAAGCCACGTCATGTCCTAGAGCCTTCCCCATGTCACCTTGTCACACAGGAAGTTTGTATCTAAGCTTACTTCATCAGGTGCACGTTGGGGATCTTTTTTTTTTTGTTTGTTTGTTTTGCATTGAAAATACTGTTTACAAATAAACTGTTTCTTTTTGCATTGAAAATACTGTTTACAAATAAACTGTTTCAACACGTTCTCCCAAGCCCAAATTTCTGGTGAAAACAGAAAAAAACAGTTCCCCAGGAATATTTTCAGGGTGAATGTATCCAAGCAAATTTCTTGTGAATCAGATTCCTTATGAATCTAGAAATCATGTTTCTTTGACACATCACAGACTTGCAGTGTTCAAAATCAACCCTTGAAAATAGCCCCTTCTGCACACCTGCAGCAGGCTAAGACTAGGAGCCTTCAGACTGGATCACATATGTGTGTGTGGTTTAAAATATGTTCAATGCAAAAAGTTATATGCCTATAAACACATAGTGCTCCTGCCTTGCCCAGAAGTCAGCAAATCCTCCTCTGAGCAGACTCCAGGCCAGTTCCTGGAATTTTCATCTACCTGTCTAAAAAAAACAGAGAAATTTTAATCTCTTCACTGGCAAATTTTAATCTCTTTACTGGCAAGAGCTGGCACCCAATACCTTTGAAAAATCAAATTGATGCCAGGTCATTTAAAGACTCAAAATAACTCAAAAACTCAAGAACATGCTTAACGCTATTTAGCAGCATATAGCAGATTTTCATAGCAAAATGAAGATCAGCTCATCACGAGCTCACCTCCAAGAACTTTACAATTTGCTTTTTAGCAACCTTCAAGCAGCTCCTGCCTGATGCACACAGACACAAACTGAAAGACTAGTTTCCAAAATGTTTAACCTGGTTCCTAACAATGTTTGTCCTGCTTCCATATGTATATATATATATGTGTGTGTGTGTGTGTGTGTGTGTGTGTGTGTGTGTATGCGTATGTATATACAATAATATTCTATACTTTACTTGCAGAACGAAGCTTTTTATTAATTTACCTTCAGCTTCACTCAAAACAATGAGGTCTGACAGAAAAATAAATAAATAAATAAAATAGGAAAGCCTTGTAAGTCAATCTCTATGACTCTTGAGCGAATCAACAGCTCAGTGGGTGCTATTCAAAAGACATAAGAGATGAGAGATTTTCTTCTCCATCTCGCCACCTATTTCTGCCTCTATTTTCCTCTTTGGATCAAAACAGCAAGCTTTCCTCGCCTTTCTGCAAGTGTTATTTTCTCCGTGTGAGGACGCTTTACCGTAATAGTTTATAACGTTTATAAATTTGGGGAGAAAAGAGGGTTTTTTTCCCCCGGGGGCGGCAGCGGGAGGATGCGCCGCGCCCGGCGCCGGGTCCGCGCCCGCGGATCCCCGCCCACTTCGGCCGGCTGGCCAATAGAGGGGCGGTTTGCGGGTGCTCAGCCAATGAGAGAGGCGCGCCCCGAGGGGGCGGGCAGAGCGGGGCCTCGGCGCCCGCCGCGGGAGCGCAGCGCGCAGAGAGCGCGGCGCCCCGAGCCGAGCGCGTGGCGCGGCCGGGCCCCGGGCTGGCGCTGAGCCTTAAAAATATGCTTAAGAAAGGGGAAACAAATGGTACGGCTTGATTTTGGACTTTACCGGACTGATAGAACGCATCCAGCCTTCCGAGGTGACTTTCCCTTCCCTCAAATTACCGGAGAACGTGATCCTAGAGGAAAATATAAAATAAAGTAAAATGAAAAAATAAAATAAAAAAATAAAATAAAATAAAATAAAATAAAATAAAATAAAATAAAATAAAATAAAATAAAATAAAATAAAATAAAATAAAATAAAATAAAATAAAATNAATAAAATAAAATAAAATAAAATAAAATAAAATAAAATAAAATAAAATAAAATAAAATAAAATAAAATAAAATAAAATAAAATAAAATAAAATAATTCAAAAGTCATCTGTCACAGGAAGCCTTGTGAACAGAGCCGGGTCTCCGCCGCTGCCCTCCCAGCGCAGCGCGCTGCACCCGCGGCGCGGGCCGGGCTCCCGCGGAGGCCCCCGCGGGCCGCGCAGGGCCTGGGCCCGCTCGGGCTGCTGGAAGAGGCTCCGGTTCCGCCCGCGCGCGGCCCAGCTGGGGACGTAGCCTTGAAAATGAAATTCGGCAGAATTTCTCCTCGAGTATTTTGCATCGCGTCTGAGCTGCTGTGCTTTGGGAATGTGTGTGTATTCAAAATGAAGCACTGGTGTCTTTTTTTTTTTTTTTTTTTTTTTTTTTATGGCTTTGGTTATTTGCCATTGGTTTTATTTAACTCGTTCATGTTTCGTTTCCCAACCCCAAAATGACTTTTTTTATACATACGGATCCTAAATCCTTACAAACTAAATGGTCTGGAGTGCTTCTTTACTAGTAGTATTATTATTATTTATACGATGGCTGAAGCTTTACGATTTGGTCGGACAGTTCTTTTTAAAATACGATAGACTGATAATGCTCAGATTAGGGTTTTAACCTTCTATCCTTCGTCGCTAGAGGCTTCAATACAACCTTTTTTTTTTTTTTTTTCCCCCAATCTAACAGGCTACTGGAAAAGGGATCCCTCTGCTGAGACCGAACCAGTGGGAGTTCACTCCACATTATCCTAAAATACATAAATGCTGGATCGGATAATATATATGGATCCAGCATGGATATATGGAGTGAACAGAAGGCACCTCTTCCCGGCACCGGCCAGGAGGGGATTCCACCTTCTGAAAAGGCGATAGATAAATAGATATCGAAATGCACAATTTCCTGCCTAAAAGTCCACAGCCCTTTCCTGGTGTAATAAGTGACAACGAGATTTTATATTCCAGTGATGGTAACAAGATCCCGCCCTGTCGACAGCAGAGACTTCTCCTATGACCTGAACAGCTCCAGAGAGTCTCATCTGATAACAGCGAGTTGGGTAGGTCGGTCCTTAGCGCCCTAGCGCAGGATAATGAAGCCGCACGAAACCCGCCCAAAGCGGCACGCGGGGACCCGCGGAGGCGCCCGCGCCGCCAGCAGCTCCTCACAGCCCCGCACCCGGAGCAGCGGGATTTTCCAGGGGAACTAACGTATTTGGTCACAAGACTCGTAACCTGAGCGTGTTTCCGTTCGGCACCAACGAAATAAGGAGAGGGTTTTTTTTTCCCCCGTAGATACTTAGAGTAGCAGTGATTCTACAGAGGCGTGTTTGCAAAGGGAACACATTTTATGGATAAAACACACTGATACTGCATATGCTTTAACACCTCCTAACACTGGCCCCGTTCAACCAATTGCTTTCAAAAAGCCGTAGGCATAGGGGAAAACGGAGCGAATTTTGTTTGTGAGTTTGCTCGTTTGTTTTTCCAACTTAGAGAGGAAAAAAATATCCAACCACGATCCTGAGAGGCAAATTGTGTGCAGCTTCATCCAAAGCCGCTGGAGACAACGGGATTTGAGCCAAGCTCGTGATTAGCCGAAGTGCTTCATCGCAAAACCCGAGATCTTGCTGACAGCCCTTCAGTGAAAAGCTAAACAAACGGTAGTTTGTCAGGAACTTTATTTAAAAAAAAAATTGCATGACAAACTGGAACCAAGACCAAAATACTGTATCCACTGCACATCATTCATTAGAAAACAAACATACACCACATTTGTATTCTACCAAACAGTGTATTTCCTTAAAAAGTATATAGTGCGTGCTTTTAGATTCATGCTTTTCAATATTATTTTACATTTGTTACTCAAATATCATCTGTTATAAATAATTGCAACTCGATCAAATGGCGCACCTGTTATCACGGACCTCTTCAGTGCTGCTAATGTGGCTTTTTGGTGCCTCTTTTTTTTTTCCCCTATCCTCGAAAAAAAATAAAATAAGAACCGAAAAGCTGTTGGTATTGCTTTTTCAGGACCCGACAAAGCGCATCTGAGAGCTGACAAATAAAGTGTTCGGGTGCCAGAGGCGCTTGCAGAACCGGGACTGCTGCTGAGACCTACAGCTCGGGAAGCTGGGACAAGTGGCAGGAAAGTACATAGAAAAAAAAAATCGTTTCCAAAAGGCACAATTTCCTCGACACAAAGGTACAATACAAATATGTGGCCACTGCAGATCCGGCGCGTGGGCGCCCGTCGGGGGCCCCGCCGCCCGCCCCGCGGGCTGCCGCGGCGGGAGCCGGGGGCGCGCAGCGAGCACGCGCTTCCCGCCCCCCCGAGAGGCGGGACGACGGGGTACGGGGGGGGGGGGAGGCGGTGGTTTCCAGCCCGTCCTGCCCCGGCCCCACCGCGGTGCCGCTGCCCGTTACTGCTCGCGGCTCCGGCCGCCCGTCTCGGCGTCGCTCTGGTCGTCCGTGAAGCAGACGTCCACGTCGCTCTCGTTGTCAGTCTTTGGCTCGGGCTCGGCGTGCGCGTACGCAGAGTCACTGGCGTCGTGCGCCGCCTTGCCCAGGCCCTGGCCCGGGTGCCGCGACTTGACGTGGCGCTCGAGGTCGCGGCGCCGCACGAGCACCTTGCCGCAGTGCTCGCAGCGGTACGGCGTGTTGCCCTCGGCGTGCAGGCGGATGTGCTTGTTGAGGTTGCTGGGGTCGCCGAAGGGCCGCAGGCACACCTTGCACTTGAGCGGCTTGTAGCCCGTGTGAGTCCGCATGTGGATCTTGAGGCCGTACTTGCGCGAGTAGAGCTTGCCGCAGTAGAGGCAGAGGTGGCCGCTCTTGGCCTTGCCGCCCGCCGCGCCCGGCGGCAGCGCCTCGAGCCGCGCGCGGCCCTTCTCGGCCGCCAGCTCGGAGAGCTGCTGCGTGTGCATGGCGATCTCGCGGTCGATGGTGGCGAGCGAGCCCAGCTCGCCGCCGGGCAGCGCCGCCGCGGGCGCGCCCACGTACGACACGGCCTCGGGGTACTTGAGGAGGCCGCCCAGGTGCAGCTTGAGCGGGTAGTAGGGCGCCGCGCTGTAGAGCAGCTCGCCGCCGTACACGGTGAGCGGCATCACGGGCAGGCCGCACTCGCCCGCGTACGCCTTGAGGCCCTCGAAGGGCGGCAGCGCGAAGCGGTCGAGGCCGCCGGCGGGCAGCGG